AGCTTTCCAGTTCTTCCTTCTATTCCTCTAACTCTAATGCTGTTTTGACTTCTCTCAGAGCTCCAGCCAATTGATCCCCCAACTGTTTACCACTCTTCACCCCCTTACTGTCTCCTTCATGCCTTTCTTTACCACGCTTAAATCAGGTAATCAACCCCTATGGGCACTCCCTTCCACATGCCTTTGATTTCTACTCACTCTGCCTATTTCTTGGCAAAACCACAGTCCTGATCAAATCTAAGTCTCCACCATTATGCCTTTACTTACGTCACTCAATAAAGTTTAGAAAATTCACAATCATGGTGAATTTTCCTTCTCCTCCTCTCCCTCCTGCTCTCCCTTCTCTTTCCTTCCACTTCCTCTTCTTCCTCTCCTCCTTCTCCTTCTCTTTCCTTCCCTCTCCCTCCCCCTGGCTCCTCTCTCATTCTCAGGGATGTATTCTTTCCCACACTGAAGATAAGAACTCCTTAGATCCTCATCACGCCTGCCCAAACCCAGCCGTGCACCACCCTGTGTCACAGGCGGTCTCCATGACCCTGTCAAGCTTGGCTCTCATCCACGCCTTGACATCCACCTCCCAGCTTCTGCTGTAGACCTGCTATTGTGAAAAGGCCCACTTTCCTGTTACTTCACTGGTTCATAGCAAAACTCAAAAAAAGCTGTCTATATCCCAAGCTTACAATTGCTACCCTCTCATTCTGTCTTCAGCCCACTTCAATCAGGGTTCCATCATCTCTATGCCTGACACTGCTCTCACTGGAATCGCCACTGACATCCTTGCACTAAAGTCAACGGCCAGTTCTCAGTTCTCACCACACTTGACTTTCAATATTTAGCCTAAATGATCACTCTTATTTCCCCGATATGTGCTTTTAACTTCTGAGACACAGAGCTTCTGGTTTTTCTTCATTCTTGCTAGCCATTTTCCCTTGGCCTCCTTTTCTGGTTTACGTCCTCTGTGACTTTTTACTACTAAACTGGGAAAGCTCAGGGCTCAGCCTTTCTGTCCCCTTCTCCACCTATACAGTGTCTCTTGGTGTCCCGATGAATATCAAAACCCATGATGTTCCAGTCCCTTCTATAAAATGGTATTTGCATATAACCTACTTAGATCCTCCGGTATACTTTAAATCATCTGTATATGACCCTAAATACCAAATCTAACCCAAATGTAAACAGTACAACATGTACAGAGTTGTTACACCATGTTGCTTAGGGAATGATGATAAGGAAAAAGTCTGTCTGTGTTCAGTGTAGATGAAGTATTTTTCCCAGTATTTTTGACACATAGTCGTGTTGGTTAAATCCAGGGATACAAAACCCACGGATTTAGAGGGCCAAGTGGACTTCCTCTTTTGACCATATCTTTCCATTCAATGGCTTTAGAGATCATGAATGTGTCAGCTGCCACTTGATAACCGACAACTTCCCAGACCAATCCCTCAAACTCCAGTCATGTTTATTCTGCCACTCACCAGATCTCACTGCTGTTCAGGGTTATCATATCCACCCCTGAAATTCTCACCTCAGTCCTACCTTTCTCTCAACCCAACCAAACCTGTTTCATGTGCAGCCTTCTCCATCTTAGTTGATACCAAGTCCACTTACTGTAGCCACAAACATCAGGGTCACCTCTAGGTCTTCTTTCTCTTACCCCACATTCAATCCACTGGGAAATTCTGTTGACCCAGCATTGAAATGCACCGAGAATAAAAATTCTCACTGGTACTTTTGTCACTCAAAGGTGCCCTCACTTCTTCGCTAGATTACTTTGGAACCTCCAGGTGACCTTCCCCCCTTTATTCTCTTCCCCTACAGTATATTCTCAACAACCAGCAAAGCGATTCTGTTAGAGTGCATTGGATGATAGCACCTTTCTGCTACAAACCTTGTAAGATCCCCATGTCGCAGAGTTTAGGGTTTTACCATGGCCCACAAGGTGCTGCCGCCTTGGTCTGTATGACCCCAGGGAGCTGCTTTTCCTCTCCCTCACTCCACTCTAGTTCCACAGCCTCCCATGCTTTAACCTGCCAGATTCAGTCCCACCACAAAGCCGGTCCCCTGACTGGGCCCCTGCCGGAACAGAGCTGCCCAGACACCCATGTGTCTCTCAGCAACCTCCAGTCCTCGATCGTCCATCTTACTGCCACCTACCTTGACTACTTTATCTGGAACTGTAACATGACTCTTTCCTTCCTTCCTTCCTTCCTTCCTTCCCACCTGATTTATCTACTTTTATTGTACACATAATACCCCTTCCTAAATACTATATGTTTTTATGTTACACATAGTTTATATATAACCGTATAAAATAATTACAACTATAATATAATTACATACAATATATAACGTGCCTTATCTATTATGTGGTTTATCTATTTTCTTTGTTGATTTATCTTCTCTCCTGGCTAGGACATGAACTTCCCAAGGGCAGGAACATTCTGTCTCCTTTGCTCACTAATGTGTCTCTGGCCCTCACAGAAGGAAAAGTAGGCAGAGCAATCAGAAATCTACTGTAATTGTCTAAAGCGCAGCTGCTGAGGGTTGAGTTGAGTCCCACCCCACCTCTTACTGGAAGTACAGAGCTGGGCAATCCACAGCCTGGCGGGCCCTGGAGACCTTTCAAAAGGCAGGTGAGCAGGCAGTTTCAAAATGTTAAAAGACAATGGAATCCTCCAAAGAACAGCATGATCACACGCTGGGAGACATGTCATGGCACCCCGCATTTAGAGAACTGAAAGTGTCAATCTGACTAGCTGTGACACCTGCTTGATGTGCTAGTTTGGCTCGGTTATCATCCCAGTGCATTGATTAGTCAGTCAACAAACAATAATCTAGTGTTGCTCCGAAAGCTTTCTCAGTTGTGACTGTCGTTCATCATCAATTGGCTTTAAGTAAAGGAGGTTGTCCTAAATCAGGCACATCCAACCCACCACCTGTGGGCTGCTTGCCTTTTTTCTTTTGCTTTTGTTTTTAATGTTATAATACAAATATTTAAAAAGAAAGGAAGCTTTTTGCTTATACACATTAACTGTAGTACGTATTTTATATGCAGCCCAAGGCGATTCCTCTCACTCAGTGCAGCCCAGGCGAGCCAGGGACAGGACTGATCCCATCTGGTGAAAGCCTGAAAAGCAGAGCTGAGGCCTGCGTGAAGGAGGGTTTCATGCCCGCTGTGGATGGGAACTTCCACTGTGCCAAGTCACAGCCTGCTCTGAGGATCTGGGACCTGCCCAGCCAGGCCCCAGGGCAGTGAAGCTGCCTTCTCACGATCGGTTCCTACCATTCTTCCTGGACTTCTGCTTTTCCGGCTGGACCCTAACTGATACACTAGAGCACTAGATACACTAAGGGTTAAGGCAGAAGGGAGCAAAACAAGGATGAGAGGGGTGTGGAGGGCAGAGCTTGTTTTTAACACCATCAAAGGCTTGAACTTGAGACTGTGGTCAGTAGGACAAGCAAGGTGAAGCAATCTGGGATAGAGGTGAGTCTTTTGGTTTGGTTATAAAGGATTTACTGGGACGAGGCCAGAGAAAGAGAGAGATGCTAGAAGCTGGGATACCAGGAGAGCTGCCCATGAGACAACTGAGAGGAGAACGCAGGCAGACTGCTTCCTTGGTTGCCGGAGAACCGCGTTCTGGCAAGGAGCGTGAGGTCTACCCTGGGCTGGTGCCTCTCCCACACTGTGACAAAGCAAGGGCCACCGAGGTCCTCAAGAACAGCCACAATGGGGAGGACGAGCCAGAAACTGAAGCATGCTGGCTGGAGATTGGCTGGGGAATGAGAAAGCAGAGCCAAAGGTAGATTATTCTTTCTGAAGTTTGGCTTGAAGGGGAGGAGGGAGAGTGGCTGAAGACAGAAAGGTGCAGTGTCACGTGAAGGACCTGAGCATGAGAGAAGCTTGAGCTCGTGCAGAGACTAGGTGCAAGGGGTCAGAGAGCTGAGAACAAGGCCACACATTACCCCCAGCAGGGTTCAAGAGAGTCGCGTATCCGGGGCTCCAGGGCCCAGAGGAAGGCTTGGTTAGGGATGGTGAGGGGCCCCATCTGCTGCGATCTGGGGAACCTGGAGAAGGGTGGAAGCCAACAGGGAGGCATTTGAAAATGGGGGCCAGGGACCCCCCAGTGACTCATGCCCAGGGGCCGGGGTGGTTACTGCAGAAGTGAGGAAATAAGACTAGCTCAGAGGGAGCAAAGGGGGTGAAGGGCAACAGGGGCCTTGGTTTCCAGGGGGCCGGGTTACCACCCGCCAGGAGTCAGAGAGGAATCAGGGTGGCAAGGGTCATTCTCGGTGGCTTCTCAATTCCCTTGCGACTCCACCGTCCTACAGAAACACTGCCTCGTTCACTGACCTTTCCTCAACCGCCACAACAATGCCTAGCATCCAGCAGGCACTCAGTAAATATTTATTGAGTGAATATCTGCACAAACGAACACTTAAATGAGCCTTGCTCCCAAACAAGCACATAGAGACTCTTAGCTGGAATGACCTGCTTTAATGTAGAATCCTTTAATGCTTTTAAGAGCTCACAAAAGCTTCTCCGAGGCCTTGAAATGGAACATGATGACTCCAGTCTCCTCCCCTGACCTCAGGAGGATGAGGGCAAGCTAATCCAGAAAATTTGAGCATCAGAGTGGACATTTTTAGATTGAACTTTTCCCCAGGGTAGCTTGCAGCAAATTATCAGGAAAATGGTGAAATGTCATTTTGTTTTACTGTACAATAATGTTTTCTGAACTGAGCAAGAGTTTATCACTCTGATTTTCATTTAGATTCTGCCATTCTAGGTGGAATATAGCTTTAACCTTCTCTGATACATCAATCTCCCTCTTCTTGCTGGTGTTGGTGACATTTACCATCAACTGAAGTGAAGAGAGGGAGAAAAACAGGACTTCTAAAAAAAGTCAGCCTAAGTGGCATGGTTATATAATAAAACTACAATGTAGGCCGCGTCGGCTTGCTGTCAACACCAGGGCTTGCTGAGCTTCCCTAGGCCTTACCTGCGTGGAACACTTTGGTTTTTCCATTAGTGATTCCGGAAGAGCTTGCTTCCATTTTTACTGTCCTGCTGCCTGGCGGGAGTGAGGAGTGCCTGACCACAGGCACGTGGCGATGTGACCCTGGGTGGCTTGCCAGGCTTCGCCGTTGATGGATTTGCAAGCGCTTTTCAGCCCCATGAATAGATACACTTAAACCTGCAAAGAGAAACAGCCCGTTAAGAGTGAAGAAATAGCCCATTAGAGCAAATTTTGTTCTGGCAAGACTTCCAGAGAACATAGCAGCTATGTTTCCAATTCTTAAGGTATGGGGCCTGGGATTTAGCTCAGTGGTTCCTCCTCCTGCCTCACAACTGCAAGGACCCGAGTTCGATCCCCCGGTACCATAAAAAAAAAAAAAAGTTTAATTCTTAAGGTATGTTAGCGACATCGGATTTTCACATAACTATTTACTGCACATCAGTTCATTCAAAAGTGAACAGTCTTAGTTATCACAACAAAACTTTCATGAACAAATATTTAATAAAGTCAAATATTAAACTTCCTATTGAAATTATTTCCAACATACAGGAAAAAGATGCATGTGTTTGGCATGCCATTGTCAGGGACTATAAGGCTTAAGAATTGTTACTGGGATACCTGGCATTTCAATAAAAATCAATAAACTTTCTCCTTGGGAGTCACTGATAGGTCAGAGTTGGCAACTGAGTTCACATTAACATTTCCGTTAACGTAGAATTATGTGCATTTTAAGAACTATTTTGTTCTAAAAAACAAATCAGTGCAAAATAACTCCAAACATACCAAAAGCAAAGACAGTAGCATAATGAGCCCCAGGTAGCCATTACCCAGCAGTAAGAACCCAGAATTTTCCAATCTTGCTTCATCCATTCCTTTGCGTTTGTTTTTGGTTTGTTTCTTTAGTGTTGGAGTTGAAAGCAAATACTAGACATCATGTTGAGCTCATGAAAAGCTATACTGATTGCACTGACTCAATCACATCAATACAGATTACAGACACTGCTGCATATCAACTGTACAAAAATTCTGAGTGCAAAAGATAGTTTTTAAAAAATGTATTGATCACTATCAGAGGTTGCTAAGATATCCATTCATTACTCAGAGAATTGATGAAGGGAAAGAAGCAAGCATTGCGCAGGGCTTTCCTTTACCGATCATATTTCAAAGTATCCCAGAGGCTGATGAGAGACAGTTCTTCACTACAGAAGAATCCCTGCTAATAAATGCTGATGGAAAAGAGAATTATAAAATCACTTTAGAAGTCCCAGTGAAATATGGAAAGTGACATATTTGTCCAAAGAATTTCTGCAACGGCAGAGTTGGAATTCAAACTCTTAGAAAAATCCAACTCTTGTCTTTAAAAAAATGCCAAGGAAAGATATTAGACTTACAATGCCAATAAGCCAGTGGGACTTGCGAGAAATCATGTTACCTGAAAGGGAGCAGCTGAGGTTCACCAAATTTCAGAAATTTTTATTAAGAAGAATCTGTTGAAAAGGAAGGCATAAAACCAGTGGTTTATGGATCATAATTACTTACAGCTCACAGTAAGAAGTTTACTAAAACCCCAGAAATGGGGGAAATAAAAAGCCTTCTCAGAAGCAAACTCAAAACCAGCAAACATGGGCCATACTACAGGTATGAAGACTCTCCTTAAATTCTGGAGGGGGGGAAACAAAAGAAAAATGACCAAGTCAATTTGTAAGTTCTAACAAATCTTAAGAAAGGATAATTCAAATCAGAATAAGGTTTTATCACACCAGGAAACATTAAGACAAACAAGGCAGTGTCCATCCAAGCAAAAGCCTTGAAGTTCAAGAATTCCAGTTGCACAGCAGCCCATCCTACTGTGTAACTTCACTCCCCTTTATCCCTAGCTGCCTTAATTCTGGCAGCATTTGCCAGACCCCTCAGGGCTAGGACATGGCTTCCCGTTCAGGCAGAGAGCAGGCATGCCAGTGTCTTGACGACCAGCAGGCAGGGTACTGTGTAAGCTAAAGAACTGCGGTCCTGGGCTTCCACAGAGCCATCTGCTCCTGAAGTGCTTAGGATGCGTCTGTCACCATGATCTGGTTTCTGAGCTCACGCGGCTTCGAGCCTGAACCTCGTTCTTGGAAGGCTCCCCTGGGCTTGCCAGGCTGGCAGCGCTTGGCAGAGGGAGTGACAGGCTTCCCTGGCAGCGGATGCCTGCTCGGGTGCTGCTCAGGGGCCAGGCACATGGGAGCCTTCTGCTCCAGACGTGTCTCTGGGTGGGATCCGCACAACGCCGTCAGCACGCCATCCCACCCTGCGGCCTTGTCATGCTCCACATTTCCTCTGAGGTCACACTGAATGTCTGCAGACCAAGCAGGACTCCAGAAAAATCCAGACAAACTTGAAGATGACAGATGAAAGGGATGGGTGAATCATTTTAAGTCAACATGAGGTGATACAGGTAGCCTCAGTCTGCCAATAGAAAACAGGCCATTCTCCCCCAAACGGAGGGGTTACTGGGCAAGGATTGTGACTCAGCGTGGCACTTTGAGCTCTTACATAACTCCTCTCAATGAAGGTCAAAATGACAAAAATGAGAATAAAAATTATGCTGTGGAAATAAATGGCACAGGTACTTGACGCTGTTCAATCCTGTTCGAAAAATATAACAAGGTCGAGCATTAGCAGCCATGGTTATGATGGATCAAATCAGTGATTTCCCACGATTCTTCATTCTCTGCCTCTGCCCACCTGTTTTAAAGCCACTGCTTCATTTTCCATGACTCTTATGCTTTTTACTCCCCTTTATGTCCCTAAATTCTCTGTCCTTCCTGTTCCCCAAAGTGGGGTACTGCTTTCCTATAGTGCTGTAACAGATGTCCGAAAAAGTAGTGGGTTAAAACAATGGGAATCACAATCTCATGGTTCTAGAGCCCAGAAGTCTGAGATCAAGGTGCGGGCGATGCCACCTTTCTCTGAGACACTTTGGGGAGAACAGGTAGGTCCCTTGCTTCCTTCGGCTTCTCGGGGGTGCTGGCCTCCTTGCGTTCCTTGCTTTTCAACCACCCCACTCTGATCTCTATTCTGTCACCTTCGACTCTGGGTTCTGTGTGTGGTCTCTGCTTCTCTCTTATGAGGACAGAGGTGATGACCTTTAGGAATGATCTGAGTAATCTCCTCACCTCAAAATTCTTAACTCATCCCATGTGCAGAGAGCCCTTTTCCAAGTCAGGTAACATTCATGAGTCCCGGGGTGTGGACACATGTTTTATCAGTCTACTGAGTGGGCCGTTCCTGGGTCTCCTCGATGGCCTCCTGCTCTCTCCTTTCTCTCCCTCCCTGGGGATCAGAGAGAGCCCCAAGTGGCCTTATCTCCAGTGTCGCCAGCTGTCCTCTCCTTGTGGTCAGCCCCTTGGGTGAGTCCTCCTGCTTTGCTGTCTCTTTTACTCAAGCTCGGTTTTCCTGATGGGTCTGAATGTTCTGAGAAGCTCAGTGACTTCATAAAAACATGGTGTTTCATATTTTTATTTTAAAAATCCACCAAAGCTCCAATTTCCTTTCAGACCCTCATATCTTCATGACTCAAATATCTTTCTGATTTTTAAATTCTGCGGTGGCCTTCTCTCTGGGCCACTTCCCAGGGGCACTCTTCCTGGAGGCACTGCATGGTAGAAATGTGGCTGAGGATCGGTGATTTGCTTTCATCTAAATGTCATCCCTGTGATTCAGAAGAGCCGTGTGCCATGGGGACATCTGTAGTTCTGTTGATGTTTTACAACTCGCAGCAACAGTGCCTAGAGCTGCATCGTTCTCCGTGTCATTTCTTAGGTAAAGTACTTATCAGAATGTGGAAAAGCTATATTTTACATGTCACCACCATGAGCAAAAGGTAAGAGTTAGCAATTCCTAATTATGAAGTTAATAATTGATGGAAGGAGACATTTATTTCTAGTTTTCTTTTTAACTACAATGTTAAGTATGAGCAGTACTTCCCTGGCCAGAACTGAGAGAGAAATGCTCTTGGTTTCTTATTCTGAACCAAGATTTACTTTTCCAAACTTTCTGGAGCTTTCCCAATATCTTCTCTTATTTGGCTCAATAACACTTTGGCAAAACCCTTTCTAAAACAGGCGGAACTGGGCCGGGGATTTAGCTCAGTGGTCCTGGCACCTGCCGCACAAGTGCAAGGTCCTGAGTTTGATCCCCGGTACAACCCCCCCCCCAAAACAGGCGGAATCCAATGGAATTGCTACGCCCCTTCTACGAATCTTCCCAGAAGTTAAAGTCATTCTACAGTGATATATGCATACCCATGTTTAAAGCAGCATGACTCCTAAGAGCTAAATCTTGGCAGCAAGTATATATATCCATCAGCAGATCAATGAATAAAGAAAATGAGAAAATGTACTTATATACAATGGAGTACTACTCTGCCATAAAGATGATGAGTCACTTGTAGAAAAATGGATGCGCTTGAGACCACAGAGTTAAGTGAAATAAATCAGACACACAAGCTTAACTATCACATGGTTTCTCTTGAGAAACCCAAAGTATAAATAAATTAAAAAGCCAAATAAAAGATAGGAAACAGGAAGGTAGACCTTTTGCAAATGAGAAAGGAACCAAGAGGTGGAGGGAGGAGAGAGAGGAGGGAAAGGGCATAAAAAGAATTAAGATGTGTTATGTACCTATACCAGCTCCCCACGAGGAATGCAATTGTTATATACCAGAAACATCTGCTAATAAAAATACAATAATAAAATAGGCGGAGACCTTCCCATGTCCTGGGGAGGTAGAAGGACAAGCACACAGGAGCACACAGAAAAGGGAGTGCCTGTGTGAAGTGGGGTTGGGGCCATTCCCAGTAGAAGGGATGGGATTTGTGCTGCCTCGGTGTGGTGGGCATGGTGGGCCCAGAGCAAATGGATTTGGAGGAGCTTTGGGCACCATCGGGATTGGTGGATAAGTGAGCCAGGAACACTCCAGGGCTGACAGATCTGACTAGGACCCCTGAGACATGAAGACAGGGCCGGGCCCTCAGGCCCAGTGGGGCTGCAGATAGCCGGGCCTCCTTCTATTTCTCTCCTCGTACCACCAGGCTTTTGGACAGATTGGCATCAGCTGGTTACCCAGATCTGGCAACACCAACACTTCAAAACCAGAAGCTCTTCCTGCCAAGATGCTGTCATTTGTAAAGTTGGGAA